GTAACCATGGCATGCACCACAGTAGCCAGATCTTTTCCGCACAGGAAAGGACTCAGCTGACTAACCAGTTGAAGACATTCCTGGCCACAGCTTCCACTTGCTTATCCAACAGTAGGCCTGAGACTAAGAGCACCTCCAAACTATGGACCTGTTCCTTCAGGGAGAGTGTAACCCCATCCACAATGGGTGACACCTTAAATCCCGGTTCAGACCTTCTGCCCACCAGTAGCACTTCTGTTGTGCCAGGATTTTCAGTTTTTTAGCCCTCATCCACTCCAAAACTGCCTCCAGACACAAGTTCAGGGTTCCTATAGCCTCCCTAGTATCAGCTGGAAGTAGGGTTGCCAAACGCCCCGGTTTGCCAGGGGTCCCCCGCTTTTTTGGGGGGGGTTCTACCCGCCACCGGCCAGATGGCCGGCGGGGGAAACCCCACCCCCAACACCCATCTCTCTCCCTTTAAGTGTGTACAACCCGTGTTTCATCCCAAGCGCGAACTCCGCAAGCTTGCAGGGAAATGCCAGTTTCATTCTTAAAAGGGAAACGCAGCTGCTCTTAAAGGGGAAACGCCGGCTGCCGGCTACTTTAAGTGCAGGGAACTGCCATTTCCGGAGATCCGGCGCACAGGCGGGTGGGGGGGAGGCAGACGTCCCCAACGTGACTTCATCATGTTGGGGATGCCCCACCCCCTCCAGGAACGCCCCCAAAGTCCCCCGCTGGCGGTGGAAGATGGACTTGGCAACCCTAGCTGGAAGCATAAGATAAGAGCTGTCATCTACTTATTAGTGACAACCCAGCCCAAACTTCCAGATGACCTCATCCAGAGATTTCATGTAGGTGTTAAAAAGCACAGGGGACAAGATGGAGCCTTGCAGTACTTCACAGTAGTTTCCAGCATCGCCTTCTGAAACGTAGCTTCCAGGTAGGGCCAGAACCACTGCAAAATGGTGCCTCCTAGTCTGAGCTCAGAAATGTGGTCCAGAAGAATACCATGATGATGGTACAGAAAGCTGCTGATAGGTCCAAAAGAATCAACCGAGTTGTACTCCCTCTTTCCATCTCTTGTTTAGGTCCCATAACCAGGCCTGGAAACAGACTGGAAAGGATCCAAACAATGCACTTCATCCAGGAATGCTTGAAGTTGCCCAAACTCCCCCATTCAATCATCTTGCTCAAGAATGGAACATCTGAGACTGGTTGATAGTGAATGAAATCTCTTGGGTAGGCTTCTTTAGTAGTGAATGCACCACAGTCTGTTTCAAGGGGGTAACCCCCACCCCTCTCTCAAAGACGCATTAACTATCCCTCACACCCAATCAGCCAGCCCCCTGGCAGATTTAAATAGTCAGGAAGGGCAAGGGCCATACAAGCAGGTGGTGGGCCTCAAATATCCAAGGACACCATCCACATCCTCAGACTGAATAAACAGAAAAGTATCCCAAACAACTGGACAAGTTGGCATCCTGGTACCATCTTACCCTGTCACTGCTAATGTAAGTCTAAGTTACTATGGATGCGAGGGATTTTATCTACAAAGTATTACGCAAAACGCTCACAGCAGGCCATCTGCTGCAGACCACACCCCTTCAAGCTCTGAACAAGCAGAATGCCTTTGCTAGCCTACAATGTACAGACACAATGGTGGCAAAAAAACATTGTTTCTTTGCTGCCATCACCACCACAGAATATGCTTTAAAATGAGCTTTAGCCCGGGTCTTACTGAATTCATCTTGAGTCTTCCTGCACTGTTATGATAGCCAGTTTGGTGCAGTGGTTAAGTGTGTGGACTCTAAGCTGGGAGAACCGGGTTTGATTCCCCACTCCTCCACTTGCACCTGCTGATGTGACCTTGGGTCAGTCACAAGCTCTGGCACAGCTGTCCTTGAAAAAGAACAGTTTGTGTCAGTTCTCTCAGCCCCACCCACCTCACAGGGTGTCTGTTGTGGGGAGGGAAAGGGAAAGGAGTTTGTAAGGCGCTCTGAGACTCCAAGTGAAGGGCGGGGTATAAATCCAATCTCTTCATTTCCCTTGTCTTTTCATCTCTCAGTAAACCAAGAGGGTATCTGGATGCTAATACCTGAGAGATGGCACCAGGAGCAATTGTGTCAACTTCCTGTGTCATTTCTTCATTCTAGGGGTCAACGGTGCATCAACAGGAGCACCAGTCATATCAACAACAATATCCCCTACAACCATCAGAAAGCCATTTGGATCCACCACTCCCTGGAGCAGATCATTTTAATAGATCCCCCACCCCTGCAGGGTCTTGGTATCCCCGTAGTTCTAAACCTGAGCAAACAGATTCTGTTCATGACAAAGGAGCCATCATTAATTCCTCCACCCTCAAATCACAGTCATCCTGCCCATAATAAAATACCAGATCAAGAGTGTGAACTAAAGACCGTGTAGGACCAGTTATTATGTGCAACAAGCATATGGTTGTCATGGAGGCCCTGAAATCCTGAGCCACTCCTCAGCATGAATGCTGACATTCCTGAGAACAACCAGTCTAGCAAGACCACCTCTATCAGCTCAGGCAGGGAGACCGTTGGGCAGAGGGATGGGCAGTACATCAACAGAATCTCTATCCTGTCAGTCCCAGCATTAGGTACACAGCCTCAAAATGGATGAGGCACTATGATAAGGGGTTAGAGTCATAAGAACATAAGAAGACAATGTTGGATCAGGCCAGTGGCCCAACCAGTCCAACATTCTGTCACATAGTGGCCAAAAATACCAGGTGCCATCAGGAGGTCCAGCAGTGGGGCCTTACAGATTACAGCAACATCTCCCCACCTGCCAGGCCTGTGCTGATGTATCACCAAGTACCCTGGGGGGTGGGGTGGGAGAAGTTAAGCATCCCTGCTACCAAGTCTCAGTGATACCTGAGATACAGATATGGTCCACATCCTAAAAAGTTCACATAATGTAGTAACATGAACTTGTTGCTAGAACTCTGTAGCCATATCAATTGTGTACCCCATCACCTCTTTCTCCTTACTGCTTGCTGGCTAACGAGTCCTGAGCCTTCAAAGCTCTGTTGCCAACAATTTCTCCCAACCACATACATCTTATCCCTCTCAGTTCTGTGTGCAGTTTTCCCTGTTTCTTTTTCCCCAACTACATGCCCCTTGTGCCCTGCTCAAGCTTTTGCCCTTCATTAGGATTACAACTAAAAACAAAAAAGGGGAAATAAACTAGCCCACGACAAACTGAATTAAGTATCAAAAGGTTTAGAAAATGTAAGCATACAGGCCAAATAATTAATTTTTAATTGACTAATAGTATTATTTGGCCTGTATATTTATGTTTTCTTAACCTTCATTAGGGTTACCACAGGAGACCAAGGGCTGGTACATGAATTGTGTTAACAAATGGATTTTTGGCAAATACAACTTTGTCATGAAAGGGTACGATAAGCTACAATTGCTTATACCCTGTGTGTGTGCATGCATCTTTATTTGCTTTATTTTGTGATCCCTTTTCAGCGTTTCCCCCCTATTTCCCCATTTTCTGTATATTCAGCATTCTATTTTATTAAAGTCTTTTATTAAATGTGTTCCATTTCTCTGCTGTAGAAATGCTCTTCCATTTTATCTCCATTACTCAAGCACAGCCTTCTTTCTCAGTCTCTGTTACCCTAATTACTCCCTTTCATGAGCGTTTCTCACATTCTTCAAAGCTCATGTTCTATTTTCAGTGTCTTCACTAGTATTTAACAGACTATGAACATATTGGAGGCAATAACCAGTACGAATGCCATGTATTTTAAACTGGCCTCCAAGATCTCAAGAGATACCATCCAAAAACCTACAAGGCATTTCACAAGTCCAAAATGTAGGAAATATATCTTTTTTAATCCGTTGCTGCAAGAAGCACCCTGTCAAAATGGGAAGAGCACAGCAGTGTCCATCTTTGCTCTGTGCCAGCCCCACTATGCCCAGGCTGGCAAAGAGGATCACGGATGCAACAGTGGCTGGCTATACACTGCGCTGTCCTGGGCATGGTGTGGCCAGTCAGTAGGAGCAAAGGCACAAGGGCACCTGGCTTCCTCCTGTGCCAGCCTGGGTGCAGAACATCTGGCCCAGAGTAGCACAGCGGTGCCTCCTTTCTCTCCAACCAGCTCTTTGGACCTCTAGCAAGTAAGGAAGTGTGGTGACAGGATGAGCATGACTCTGGCCTCCCAATCTGTTTTGGCCTCCCAATCTGCCCCAATTTAACCAGTTCCAGTAAAATTTAAAAACCACATTGATGGTAAAGGCAATTCCTAGCTTAAGTATAAGCTGATGTGTGGGGTCACCCAGTTTTGCTCCAGTATAATACAAACAGGCTTGCAAATTTAGAGCAGAAACATACTAGCAGAAATCTTTCACCTGGCTGTGCTTAATGGACTCCTGGTATCTTTGGTGTTTAACTAATTTCCTCTGACCAAGGTATTACCTTTGCTGCACAAATCCATAAATCTAGGAGCTAATCCACATAACCATGTTTGAGGAAGAGAAATCACTCTGAAGTGAGATTTCCCTTTCACATTTATGTGGAAGACTGGTCTTGGAAAGAATCTGCAGTCATTAAGATGTCTAAAAGCGAGATCCTGCTTTTAGAGTGTTTTTATTTTACAGTGTATTTTCAGAAGCCTATTTTTCACCTGGTGGCCACTGATGGAAAATGTCATCTTATGGTGGCTCTTCCACCTCAAGTATGTGATGTAAGAACAGTGGAGCGTCATTCAGCTCTAGAGTAAATGCCATGATGAGTCAACTGAGATGTGTTTCTAAAAAACATGGCTTTTCTGTCTCTATGCTCAATTCAAGAACAAAAGGATCCTCCAAGCACAGATTGAGACTCCAGTCCAGACAACATCTGCTCATATCCACCCCGTGAGTGGAAGATGGGAGTTGGGGGGGGGGGATATTGATAGGTCTATTATGTATTTTCATTTCCTCCTGTCCTCCCTTTTGATACTGTAAGTGTATAGTGAATGAATGATCAACTGCTCCTACCTTGGGTTTGAAGGCAATTAATTTCAAGACCATCTCGACAGTGAAGAGGCCGGTGAACAGCATGTTGAGAATGTTCATTGCTTCCTTGAAGAGGCAGCTCTGGCCATAGTGCTGAAAAGCAAACATTCGATTTGGCACTTGGATTGTTTGGGCTCATCCTACTTTTTCTTTTATAAAGAGCCTCTCCTCCCCCATTTGTTTGTGTGTTCCTTATTTTTAATGATCTAGTTTTTTTAAAAAATATATTTTTATTTCAAAGGAGTTTCCCCTGAGGACCTCTGCACAGCTGTGAAGTGCCTTCCCATGGAGATTTCCAGAAGCCTAAAAATCTGGCATTTCTAGCCCTTGTGCTTCTTAAGGCTCAAAAAACAGGAGAGTACAGGTTTCCACTGATCATGAGCACACAATATTCATATTGCTCATTTCAAGTTGTTCATTTCATTTGTTCTCAGTGGCTCAGTAATCCTTACAACAGCCCCATAAGTTGGGGCATTTTTGTTTGTTGGTTTTGGCCATCAAGTCACAGTTGACTTATGGCAACCCCATAGGGTTTTCAAGGCAAGAGACATTCAGAGGTGGTTTGCCACCGTCTGCCTCCGCGTTGCGACCCTAGTGTTCCTTGGTGGTCTCCCATCCAAATACTGAGCAGGACCAACTCTGCTTAGCTTCTGAGACCTGGCTAGACTGGACTATCCAGGTCAGGTCAGGGGAGTATTACTGTGCTCCTAGTGCAGAATGAATTGGGAACAGCAGTTCTTATACTGCCCCCCATCACCTCTTTATTCTCCACAATTATACATCTGACAAGTAATTCCATACCTATTTTAACCCCCCATGAATGTTGTAATCAGAATACAAAATGACTGTGTACTATTGCCACAGCTGTACAAGTGCCTTTTGGCATTCACATCCACAGTTCTAGCCCTTGAGAAACAAGCAACATTTTGCATTATAGCGAAGGAGAAATGCCCAGTGTGTTCCTTTCTCATTCCTGACCTACCTGCATGGCCAGGCAGATGGTATTCAGCATGATGAGGATGAAAATGAGGTATTCAAAATATGTGGAGTTTACCACATACCAAACTTTGTACTGGTACTTGTTTTTAGGGATGTACCTTCGCAGGGGGCGAGCCTTCAGAGCGTATTCTACACACTGCCGCTGTAAATAAAAAATAGTGCCTCAGATAATCCATCCATTTGAAAAAGAAGTTCCACAACGATTTGTCAAGTGTGCTATTTTTTCAGCCTGACTTTTTCAAACTGAAGGTGACACTCTTTAGGGGCAGGTGATAACCACTGCAAGAAGTGTGTTTGTGGATAAAGGAAGTGCAGTGCTACCTAACAATAACAAATATTCTTAAGGCATCTTAAAGATTAACAAATAACGATGAAATGGACTTTTGTGGACTATGCCATAAAAACTTGTCATAATATATCAGTCAGTCTTTAAAGCATTATGACAATGCAACAAACTTAATCCAGCTACCCCTCTGGAATTTGTCACAAATAATAGGAAAGGTCTTTAACATTTATACAGTGTGTTTCACGTCTTCCCAAGGGCTTCACAAACAGTTCTATAATTAGTATTGTTATCTCTACAGCATGTGTGTTGGTGTGCACACGGACAGAATAACGTCTTCTCTAAAGACACTCAGTGGTTCTGTGACTGTGTGAAGATTCCTCTGTTCAGAGCTAACACTCTGAGCCACTAGTCTTCTAGAGTGAACAGAATTTTGTATCCATCACTAACAACAAAGAGTCAAGTATTTTCCTGGGGACAGGAAAGGTTCCCTAAATCGCCTCCCTAAATAACTCGCCCTCCTCAATTTACTCTAAATAGGTTGTTACACTGAAAAAATCAGCTGCTGCCAAAAAGTTGCTTGCATCATGCTTCAAGGACTCAGGAGACACCTTCTTGGAAATGGGAGATTTGAAATGGCTCCACTATCCTCACAGGCATCAAGTCTTTTAGGTTAAATGATAGGTTAGTGACAAAACCTTGAAAAGGTTAAACCTTAAATGACAAAACTTTGAAAAGCAAATATGAAAAGCAAATTGGGTTTATATAAATTGGTGGGTTTGGGGATACCTTTGCATTTAGCAATATATATTCTCACTTTTGTGAGCTGCAGAACTGCTGCTATCTTCCGGAAAGATATTTGCTAGAAAGAAGGCTGAAGGACAACAAAGAACCTGTCAGTCCTTCAGCTGCTTCAGTATCCCTTCTGTCTTCTGCTCAGCCTGCCAGTCAAACGCTCCATGAGGAAAGTTACACACTCTGAGAAACTCACGCGATCCTCAAAACATCAGCCTGCTTGCAGAGATCAGCATGTGAGCCACTAACAAGAAACTAGTAGAAGCCAAAAATGAGAGATCACGGGAGGAAGTGGAAATCCAACAACATCTGTGACAAAAATAACGACGAGTCAATAAAGATATGTTGCAAAATCATTTTCTGTAGTAATTCTGTAGAAAATTCTCATTATTGCTCCCATGCTAACAAATGCTGTGCAATGTAAACAATTCGTTTCACAATATTTGCTTTATCTGAGCATGTAGCAATCACAATTCTTATCAATTACTACTTATCAACTCTTGAAGGAAATATTCCATGTTGACGCTCTAATAACAGAACCCATGGTCTTCACAATGGGTTCTACACCCATATCTTTATTGACTCTTCATTATTTTTGTCACGGATGTTGTCGTTGGATTTCCACTAACAAGAAACTAGCAGCATTCAGATATCACAACATACTATTAAACAAAGGTTTGAACATAGTTTGTGCTCATACATTCCTCTTGCTCTTCTCACCTCACTTGCCACGATGCCTAAATGCAGGTACCCTGGCAAATTAAGAGTTTGAGTGTGTGTGTGTGGGGGGACAAATTTTGATTGGCCAAGGCACCTGCATTCAGATGCCTCGGCAAACTGGAGTTTGAGTGGAGGAAGGAAGAGGTGGAAAGGAGTGAGGGAAGCACACGAACACAGCAAACAAGCTGTCTGTGCCCAGTGCCAGTCAACCACTGTTTAATTACCGCTTGTCATGATGTCTGAATGTGAGAGAAATTCTTCTAGCAGCCTTTGTACCACCGGATGCACTTTATTTGTAAGATTGCACACTAGCACTTTTAAATGTCTTATGAATGTTCTGTTTTTATCTGTTTTAATCTTTTATGTAAGCTGCCCTGAGCCTGCCCCGGTGGGGAGGGCGGGGTATAAATCAAATCAATCAATCAATCATTTCCCTCAGTTACATCATGGAGCTATTCTGTTACCTGGTTCTTGTCCAGCTCACAGTTCTTATACTCCTGCTCTCCTTGCTCCTGAAAAGTGACGATGACGAAACCAACGAAGATGTTCATCATGAAGAAAGCGATGATGATGATGTAGATAATGAAGAAAATGGAGATCTCCACCCTGTGGTTATAGATGGGCCCCACATCTTCCAGATGGGAATCAATAGATCGATACAGCAGTCTAGAAAAAGGAAAGAATCCCAAGACAGACACTAAGGGCACTTCCAGGTGGCCCTAACTGCAGGGATTGGGAACACTGCTGTAAGGGGTGTTTCTGTCCACACTGGACCCTGCCAGTCCACAAGACTGACAGTGTCCAGTGCGGGATTTGTATGAGCTGTACAGTCTTTGTTACCAGCTCACCACAATAAGCGTGGAGGTAATTCAGGAGACAAAAGTGGCCATTGCCTTTCTTTAGGACACTCCTAAAATTGTCAATGAACGCTGCAGCACTCAATTAGAAGCATGGGAAGGCTACTGTCTAAGTTTTGTTGCTAGAAAGTTTCCAACAGACTTTGTCACATTGAGCTGGTCTTGTAAGTGCTTCAAGAAATGTCAGTAGCAGAATTCATTGGCGTGTATCCTACCACTCCGCACCGCAAAAGAGCTGCTTCTGTTGGAGAAAGGCTCCTTACAATGGAAGAAGGCTATAAACTTTACTGAGTGGACTGGTTGGATAAAAGCCACTGTAGAACCTTTGATGTCTTGGCTGAACTAGTACGAGATTATTTGAATGCACTGAAGCATTTGCAAGACTGGCTTAACATGGTAGTCTATGTGCTGGAAAAAGCTGTCTTTTGATTTCACCAAATAAAAAATGGTTCTGTGAATTAGTTTTAAACACTCACTCTGGCCAGCCTTCAAAGGTTGAAACGGTGAAGAGGGCCATCATGGCAGTGAGGACGTTGTCAAAATCAAATTTGCTATTCTCCCAGTTTCGGATGTTCAGTATTGGATGGGAGACCTCCCCATCCTTGTAAGTAATAAACTTGCCCCTGTTCCGAGAAGAAAGATATGGGGAAGAGATGAGAGAATTAAGTTTTTGGCATCTTGATCAGTCAGTGGGAAAATCTGCAGGAAGTCTGGCCACCTGTAGAGAACTCACTTGCACTCTGCTTCTGTTTGTTTGGAGCTATCACTGCAGCTGTACAATTTGCCCTGGAAGAAGATGAAAGTAGAAGTGTTATAGGTCCTTTTATTATTGATACCAGATTTTTTAAATTAGTGCCTCATGAAGAAATAATGTGTTTTGTGTTTTCTTCACTCATTGACATCTTAATAGATGTAAAAATTGCCCCCAACCAAGAACCTTTCCTTACTCCTATGTTGCCCTACATCTGATTTCTGTACAAAGTTGGGGGCAGGAAGGCTACAATGGGGGGGGGGGTTGTTTCAGATTTATTTTGCAACTCTGGGAAGATCTTTGCACTTTTTTGTATGTTTTGGAATGACATTTCTCCCTTTTAATAGATCTTTATGAATTTAACAAGTTTTTGAAGTAATCAATTATGTGTCCACATCACGGGGGGAAAGAACCTGGAAAAATGTTCAAAAACAGGTGGAACCAAGATGGGATATGCTGTTGTGTAAACATGTGCCTAGAC